GAAAGAAAGGAAAAAAGGAGCAGTAACCCCTTTTATTTTCTCTGTTTAAATTCAAACAGAAAAGAAACATCAATTTTGTTATACACTAACATCTTCAAAGTACATCATTTGTACAAGAGAAGGACTAAGAACAAAAATGTGTTTACAGAGATCCAAACACAAGTGAATGAAGTACACCTCCTCACACTGCTTTCCGATAGTATTCAGGAAGGTCGACTTCATAATCGCTGGCACTAAACAAAGTTGCAGAATTCTTTGCCAGGTACTTGAGGAAATCATGAAGATAATTCAGTAATAAAGCAAGGCTTTCTTATCTAGAGGTGTATAGGCCAACATTGCTCCAATTCCTACAAATAATCTCAGTAGATGTGGCGCTCCATACACCTGGGACATGGGTGCATCAGGATGATCTGCAAGKATTTCGGCATACTGTGGTCTCTCAGATTTGTAGAGCACTTGAGTGCCCAGCATTACATTGGAGTATTCTTTTATTCCTGCCACAACTTCATTAACAGCTACTCCTTATTATCTGTGTTTCCTCGAGATTTCTTGTAATTTGCATAATCCTCAAGAATAGAATCCACATTCTTCTTCGCAGGAAGATAAAAGAGCTGTTTTTGTCTGGTAATTAAGTCCCAGTCATCAWCAAGCCATGGTTTTAGCTCTTCAGGAATCTTTACTTTAACTTCAACTCTGTTCATAAATGTTTCTGCATTTTCAACAGTAGGATCTACCCGGGCCCTTTTCTTCCSAGGAGGCTGAGGTGTCTCACTGGTACTGCCATCATCTCCATTTCCAGGTGTTTTCTGTTTGTTCTTTTTGGTTTTCACTACAACATTTTTCTGTTGCAGCCCCTCTCATCTTCCCCTCTGCACACTGCTCCTGATTGGCTTTTTGGAGTTCTCGCTGTTTCTGCAGATTGGTATCCACGTACTTGAGCACTCTGCTCTCTGGAACCCATTCATCCCAACTAGAGGTCAGGAGGGGGTGGTGTACTGAGGGCGCTCCTTCAGGAACAGGAAAAAGGGCTACAATATCCTCACGTGTCTTCAAAGTTTTTTCAGAGTGCCTGGGCCTCACAGCACTTTTTTTTTTTTTTTTTTTATTCCAACCACTCTAATGTATAAAGTGTTTCACTTGTTTGTCCTTTATGGCCACCTTAACGCACTTTGCTTCATAAAGGAGAGGCCCATGAAAGCACAGCACTCGCTCACCCTCCTGGAATTTTAGCTTCGGGTCTTGCTTGGGCACTATTTATA